GTCATTGTATTATCTCCATACCAAACTCTCCCACACATTCTTAATTAGTGCATTGACGGTCACATCCCATAAAAGTACTTCTACATGAAACAAAAAAATAATAATATTAGTACTTTTCATGTTAAATTAACAATTTAAATAAAATATAAGTAAATAATTAATATGTTACCCAAGTCTTTCGTCTCTATAGAGACAAACTTTCATATGAACTTAACGACGTCCAACCACTCCTTCAAAATTATGATGATTTTTGTGAAGTACTTGCTTAATAGAACTAAACTATCGAGCAAAACAAACAAATAATAAATAAGTGAATTAATGATTTCAATATAATATATGAAAATATAAAATTAATTATCCTATGTAAAACATGTTACTTCTCAATTATTCACGACCCAAATAGTTCGTCCATCACCGGATCCAATATAGCTTCTTGGAGCCGAGGAAATCGTAGTTGGATCATCCACGATAGACTACCGAAGGGGTTGCGGACGTGTCAACACCATTATCAAGTTCGTCTGCTCCGGATGCTTGCACTAGCAATGCCACGTCCATATGCACCGCCACTATTAATCGTGTGGTCAACATCGAGTCATGATCACCGACATCATGACCGGATATGTCTAATCCACGAGATATAACTCAAGAATAACACTTGAAACAATTTAACAAATGAATAAAAATTTGACGAGAAAATATATTATAAATTATTATGTTTTTGCATTTTTTAGATAATATAAAATTATTTAATTAATGATTTTTTTAAACATCTAATAAAATTTTGGTAGAGTCTCTCCTATAAAGTGCACATTTATCATTTAATAGACACTCCAAATGATCATATAAATAACAAATTAAATCAACCAACAATCAATTTACGCACACCCGGATCGTCAATTATCTCGGATACTCCATTGAAATTAAATTCAAATCTCTTCCTTCTAGCTCCATCACAGAGCATTGAACCAATCTTATTTCTTTTCAATTCTTGGAAGCCTCCGACCCTTCGAGTTCAATACCCTAAAGTATATCTTAGCACATTTCAATAATTATATACGAAATAATTAAACTAATTGATTCTAATTCTATCCTAATTAAGTTTAAAATAACAACAATTTTACAATTTTTAAAATACATAAAGTTATAATTCAATCAATTAAACGTAATTAACTTGATTAATCGGTGGTAAAGCGCGCCTCGATAATTGCGTCATTGTGCTCAGGCTATGAGGGCTCTCAACCACATAGATAGTTCAATGTGCTCATCGGCGCCGACCCTAAGATATGGATTATCCAAGGCACATTAGCATGGCATACTTCTAATGTTCGAGCCGGGGTTTGAAACCAAACTTCTCCTCAAAAGGATAGATGAGGTTAATTAAATATAAATCAAATGAACTTAATTAATTCTAATTCTTACCAAATTAAATTTAAATTAACAAATTTTAATATAAATAAAATTTTAATTCAATAAATTAAACATAATTAACCTAATTAAGTAATTAATTATAAATCAAATTAATCTAATTAACTCTAATTCTAACCAAATTAAATTTAAAATAATAGTAAATTAACAATTTTTAATATAAATATAGTTCTAATTCAACCAATTAAATTAAATTAACCTAATTAATTAATTATAAATCAAAGTAACTTAACTAATTTTAATTCTAACCAAATTAAATTTAAAATAACAATTAATTAACAATTTCTAATATAAATAAAATTATAATTCAAAATTAAACAAAATTAACCTAATTAATTAATTAATTATAAATCAAATTAGCTTAATTAATTCTAATTATAACGAATTAAATTTAAAATAAAAATTAAATTAACTTAATCAAGAAAAATTAAACAATTAATTAATAAAATTATAATTAATTAACAAATTTATTCTAATTCAACCAATTAAATATAATTAACCTAATTAATTAGCTAAACATAAATAAAATTAACTTAATTAATTAAAAATAAATTATGATTAAATTTCAATTTCAATTAAATTAACAAATTAAACTAACAATTAACAAAATTTAACAAATTAAAAAATTAATCAACAAATTAACCTAACAATTAACAAAAATTAACAATTTATCAAATAAGTCAATAAAATAACAATTGAATATATACGCAATTCTTATTCAATCAATTAAACTTAAAATTAACCTAACAATTACAACAAATTACTAAATTTAATTAAGAAAATAAAAGAAGAAAAAAACTTACCTAATTTGGGTGGAATTACATCAAAAGGAGGGAAGAAAAAATAAGATTTTTTTGAGAGAAAAGACCTTAAAGTGAGAATGGATTGATTGAGAGTCGAGAAATGGAGTTAGGTGGTGGTTTGGTAGGGGGAGACCGACGACTTTTGGTTAGAGAAGGAGAGGGAGAAGAAAATGGAGGTGGAGGAAGAAGAAAGGGTTTGATATGATTCTTGGAGCTAACTATGGGCTTGAAGACTTTCAAATGGGCTTAGTGATTCGTGTCCAAGCTAAAGGGTCAGACCTATCATTTAATTCTAGAATTGAAGTTCAAATTTTGATTGGGCTAAGATTGCTACTATACGGCCTGAGACTAAAAGGTTATTTGGGCCAAGGATGATTAAATACAATTTGATCGAATTAATCCGAGCAACTTCATGGTTGGTTCTTCATTCAAAGGAGACAATTAATTTCTTGCTGAATTCCAAGCTCATTGACGTCTTCAAGGAGACCAAACTTAATGTTTGTTTAATGTTTTTACTTGGATTCAATATTGTTCATTTATTCTTGTTTGTTTCGAATTCTAGCAACATCAATAGCTATATTTTGTAAAAAATTCAGAATAAGAATTATTCAATTATTATTCAATCAAATTTATCCGTGAGAAATTCTCTCTTTAGTTCTTCCAAGAATTGATTTCGGAACTTATCAAGAATTAACCAAATTCTTACGACGTTCAAATGACTTATCGCTCCCCTTTTATCTATATAGAGTGTGGCATTCAAATCCTTTTGGATCTAATTTGGCTTTTCGAGATTGGAATCAATTTGTTCGTGTGTCCTCGACCCGTCGAGTTAGGCAAGTTCGCATCGGGGTTTAATTAAGGATAGGACAATAGCAACGAATGAGATCCTCTCACTAATCTATCGTTATTTAGCAACGAATATCGGTGTCCATTGCTAATTTGTCTCAAAATGGGTGCCTATTTTTTCACATATAGCAACGGACGTAAGTATCCTTTGCAAATTTGGCATTTTTTACTTTAAAAAAATCTATCTAATTTTGCACAATTTGTTACCTTTAGCGATGGACTTTCTTGTCGCTAAATTGTAAGGGATGTGCCCATTAGAGACGGAATATCCGTTGCTAAATCAAGAAATTAAAATAGGGATCAAATTGTATATTCATCTTTATTTTTCTTAACAAATCCGTCATTAAACTGTCTCTAAAACTTCCGAAAAGATTTTACTATCAAATTTAGCGATAGATTAGTATCCGTCGTTAATAAACCGACACAATTCCATCGTTATTCCATCACTAAAATCAATTTGTTAATTGACGATAGGTATCTATCTATCATGTGCTTAGCACACAACACTATAACCCATTTAATAAAAAGATCGTTGAATAATTAGTTCATAAATAATTTATTCCAAGACCAATAATACAAGAGGATTTGGAACAATTTACTTTAAAAAAATTAGATGAAAAACTAACATTCACTTAAAATAAGAATTTATGCCTTTTTTAATTCATAGGAGAGACAAAACTCTATTCGATATGATGTCTGTTATATAATTTTAAAGGAACCTGCTAGAGCATGATCAAAATATGAAATACCCAGTCAATCATACAGTTGGCTTCCCCACAGGTGTAAATAATGTAAACTTGCCAAAGAATTTTGAAAAAGTCTGCAAATCTTGAAAATTAAATGACTATAAATCCGACTATGCCTACTTGAAAAGCAGATTGACTGGACCGCTACCACAGAGTTTTTTAATTGGTTTGAAGAAGTTACACTCTGACATATAGTGCAGAAAACTCTGTACACCTTTCCCTATTTTAAAATGCTTTTAACGCTTCACCACAGTTTTCATCGACTTTTAAGACAGAAAGCCCTAAAAGTTCAAACAAAACCCAACAACCCCTTTTTACTAAAATCTGCAAAAAGGAAAATCTCAAAGGTGGTGAAACAACCATTGTAACAACCACTGCTTTCTTTGGAGATTAAAAGCAGTCTACGCACGGTACATACCATAAACAATTAGGCTGAAGGTTTGAAACGGGACCTTAAGTTTTATTCGACAAAGGGAGTTGAAAAATGTAATTCATATGGCCCACCACATACCTAGTACAAGACCAGATATGTTGGTCCGCTTCTGTGGAGTTGGGAGACCGGAGAACCATAAGAACTAACCTTTATTAGAATAGAAATGTCCTTTAACTAATTCTTAATAAAGCCTTGCCCCAAAAAAAAAACAAAAAAAACCTAGAGTTCGTTATAAATTTATTTCTTATGTGGAGTGAGGAGCGCTCCATTCCACCCAATCCCATTATTAACCATATAGAGAAGTAGTCTCCAAGTGGCATGCATATATGGACAAAACAACAACTAGATGGTTTTTGTCTCAAAAATGTAACGAACCAAAGCTATAAATAAAGGCTATACAATTATTGCAAACTGGAAGGTTGTATTAAAATATTGCTAATAGAAATCGAACTTTAATTATGCTATAAATGTGCTCAATATCACATAATCATAAAAGCAAAGAATCCGAGAACATTTACGAAGGGCAAGGACAAAAGGGGGAAAACCCTACACTTGCTATATACTACATGAGAGTTAAGTTTGGCAATCAAACATAGTCATGATTACAGTTATTCTGCCAATCAAAACACCTTTAAGCTACACAAAATCTCCATAATTCCCTTCTCCTACGGCTTCATACATTGTCGTCACTCTCCTTCCTTGTTAAGAGAGAACTACATCCAGCTGCAGAGATTGCAAATAACTTTTCTAATAGGGTTCAGGGTTGGCGAAATCTGGAGATTTCTTGCTGAGGTTGTATGGTGCCGCATTCAACGCCCTACACACAACAAAAAGAAAAGGCCTCGATTCAGGAGCCAGATCATTTAATTGAGCTAATCATTGCATGCATAATCTCACTTCGTTGAAATGCAATTTTTCCAGGAATGTAGTACAGTAGCATAGTTTCTACTTTCCTTTTTGATTTTTATTTTTTTGAAAAATTGTTTCTGTGTTAGTAATAAATGTGTCCCTCAAACCCAAAGAAAATTGAAAAATTCTGAAGCCGACTTCAAATAAAATGTGTCTCCAACTCAAGGTCCCAAACCTCTTTAAAACCATATTCATTGTTCGGAAAGCGCAGGCCTAGCTAAAGATATAACTATCAGAGAGACAAAAATACATAGCCTAGCTATAAATTAAAATTAGCAGTACCATTCGCCATAGGTCTTTGCTTTGGCTGACCATCTAAAGTGTATTTGTTAACAATTCTCAAATGGATTTGAGCATTAAGATCAAAGAGAAATTGTAAACAAGCCTCTTTCTTTCTTTTTTGAATTAGAACTCACCTTTCCTTGCGCTTCTCTAAAAACCGAGCCAAGGATGCTTTTCGAGCCTGAGGGACTGCAGTGACAGAGGTGGGGCATTGGTTATGCAAAGCAAATATAGATAAACGAAAACCTAATTCTCAACGAATGTGCAATGTAATTTAAAAATCTTTTTGTTGGAAACCTTAATAGATATTAGAACACCACTTTCAAGAGAAAAAATAAAGAGAGAGAGAGAGAGAGAGAGAGATAACATGCCAGATGGTATCATGGTGGTTGTAGCAACAGATTCCACTACATTTGCTGTCTTTGGATGCTCTGGTTTGGTAACAGGAGTGGTCACAGCTCCTGTAGTTTTGGTTGCCATGATTTCCTCAGTACTAGTTGACCCACTCCCTGACTGTGCACCAGTATGTGATGGGCTAGAGAGACGAGAACATGGTGGAGTAGGCATTACAGGTTGGTTCACGGGACTTGCATCAGCTGTTGCTGGCTTTGAGCTAGATGCCTGGACTTGGACTTTTGGCTGTGCCAAGTTAGATGAAATGGAAGACCCATTTCCAGCCAAGAACATGATTGCCTGGGCCTGGACAGGATTCCATAAAGAAACCAAATTTAGAATCTCCATTTCCAATTAGACAATAAATTAACCACTAACGCACACATTTGCGTGGAAAAGAGAGAGAAAAAAAAGTACCTTCTCAGGGGATATATCATCATAGACATTGACTGTGCCAGCATAAAAGATGGTCAATTGAGCATTAGACCCAGATGCTTTGACACTGTTCCAATAAACATATTTCAATTAATGTTTAGTGTATGAAATAGTTGAATGTGTTCATTTGAAGCATAAAGCGATACCTTACCTAGAGTCTGTTACCCCAGTAACAGAACCAACTGTGGGAAGAATTGAATGTGGAGCTGTGACAGGAATTCCTCCAAGCACCTGTGGTTTCATAGTAGTCCCAGCCATATTCTGACCAGTGGCTGGATAATGATTCTTGTAGAAAGGGTTGCCCATAGAAATTGAAATTGCATGATTGTTGACTGGAAACATCTTCACATCATGAAGTTGATGCACAGAAAGCACACAATGTTGCACAGGATAAGCAGTCAGTGAAAACTAAATCCCAGCTTGTCTATTGAGATTGAATAATTTCTTTATCGTAGAACTCCATGGAGAAATAATGACAGTAGTCCACGCATACTAAATAAAATTGGGACTTGATGATAAACTAGTCACTTTAGCCCGAGTGTCCAGGGAAATAATCATCCAGCTCGTTTTAAATAGCAAATGAAAGTGAAAAAGAAAGTTTGTTCCTTTATAATTTCTAAGTCAGTCTTAGCTGATAAGTTGTTTGTGCCAGGGAACTTCATCAACTAACTTTCTATCAACGCCCAACTACTCAACATCAACATAACATTAAACACAAAGAAAAAATATAGCATACCTGGATTTCAGCCGCAGAGCGTTTTTGGCCAGGCTCACATGCACTTGAGACAGACATGAATCCAGAGGACACCGGGCCATCAGATCCAATCTTTTTGGTCTTATCTTCTTGAGCAACCTTGAAAGACATAAGATTACGAAGGGTAGAAACCTGGTTGGAGAAGGGCCACTGCATCCCTGAACCTTTAGTAAATCCTATGAATTTCAACAAAAGGATTAGCAACCCACACAACCTTTTAATTCAAAAGAAATCCAGGAACCTTTTCTCTATCACTGAAGTTTGGCCAACTATCAAATTAGGAATCAGCAAATTAGGAAAGAAAGCTCAAACTGTTTGAATCAGACTCCAGATGGGACACTCTTTGAAGTTAAATTGGAAAATCAAGCTTAAGCTTTGTGTATACTACAAATTTTCTTGTTGTAGTAAACAGCCAAATATATACCAATTATCAAAAATCAACTTAAAACAGTCACTGATATCAAATTGAATCTTTATCACACAGATATAATCCCATAAAAAATAAATATATGTCCACACACACACATGCATATGGCAATATATGTAAATACGACACTATCAAACAAATAAATTTAGCAAGAAGCAAGAGATTTCTTCATGATACGAAACAAGAATCCTTGTCGAGTTTTTAAGCAAAAATCTCAACACAAATTGTTAGTGGTAAGAACAAACTACTCTGTCTTTTCATTTATTCAATTCAAACATCACAGTCACAGCTGCACCAGCCATGCACTCGGAATTAACTAGGAACAAGAAAAGGGGAGAATTTTCCATATCAAAAGCAAAAGCAAAGCTACACAATTTCGTATCAAAACTAACTCAAAATACATCAAACAAAACAACACGCAAGAGTTAATATTGATGTTAGAATCACAAAAACAAATTAAAAGAAACAAAAGACCTTTTCATGACAAGAAGAAGAAGAAAAAGATACCTATCTCTTTACACCCATCAGCGTTAGCCTCCTCCTTAACCACAGCCAGTGGTTGTTTTGAACTCAAACCCATAAAATCTCTTTCCATTTCACTCTCTTCAAAAGAACTAGCTACTACAAAGAGAATTCAGCTAACACACACCTCAAAAAACAAACTCAAAAAATCATACAGATCAATCAATCAATCTCTCTACTCTGAAAGAAAAAATCAAACGTTTTAGAGGGAGGAACCACAGAGAGTGACAGCGAAACAAAAAGCTTCTAATAAAGGGAATGGGGAGAGAGTGTCCTTTTTTATTTTTAAGGTTTTATAAGATCTTGACCGTTAATTTTTTCAAGAATTATCGAAAACCAGGTATGAGTGTTACCGGTTTATCCAGTTTGGTTACGGGTTTGTCCGGTAGCCAACCACGTGCGAAACTCATTCACGCATAACCAGCAAGTTGCTGCATGCTGGCCCACTTGTCGGTGGTATCGCCGTTCTTCGACTGAAAACCTGACACGTGTATTTATCACGTAATGAGTTTCTATGGGTGGGTTAATGAGCTGATCTATTTTTTTTAATTGCTGTCTCATTTTATGTCTGTGACTCGTGATCCTGAGATGACAAAGTTCTCACGAGAATTAGTAAAGAGTGAAATGGAATTCATCTTATGCTCTCTTTTTTTTTTTTTAATGATCATACATTATGCATCATTTTCTTTTCTCTTTGTTGCTGTTGGTTTCTTTAAGCTAAACGGATAAAACTCCTCAGTTATTTGCAGGTATGAAAAGCTTTTTCCAGAGGAAAATAAGTAAGAGAAGGAAGGGAAATTAATTAGATCTAACAAAAATGGGGAAGGACAAAGACATGGTGAGGAAATTAAAATTTTGAGAGACGGGCAAGAGAAAACCGATGGTAGTCTAAAAATTATCAGAGAGTATGATTTAGGTGTATGTTTATGAGAGAGAGAGATTTTCTTTTACTTTAATTATTCATAATTATAAATGTAGAATTGAATTCATTATAGGATTTATCTTATTTTTTAATAATTAGATAATTAAAAAATTATTATGTCGTCACTCGACTCAAACCGAGATGCTCTAGCAGTGTTTCAATATTGTGGTGCTTATGTTTCTTTTAATATATTAAAGTTTAAAATCTAATTTCTTTAATTATAATGTAATGGAAAGAACTCGCCTACCATTATATAGTTCAATGGCTAATAACTTCTCAATGAAAAATAAGGATTATGTAAAATCTAGTATGAAAAAAATATTACTTGTGAAAACAATAAATTACAAAGAGTTATTTGTTCACTTTCTATTTTTTCTGCAATAATTTGAGAATTATTCAACCAAATTATCCGGTATACTTTGGCTAAAAAGATTATAATTTTTTGAGCTCTTCCAAACAAAGGAGTGTCAAGTTTTGATTTTTTCTATTCTTTTTTAATTAATTTTTTCTAGATACACATACTTTAGATTTATCAGTGCTTCTTTTCAAAATAAAGATTCAGTCCTTAGATTGCTTGTTTTTTCTTCTTTTAAATCAGATTTTTTTTTCATTTCTCTCTACTTCCAATAAAAACATCTATAGTGTTTGGATTCTAATCTTAAATTTTGTTGAAACTTTAACTATGTAATGTGGAGTAAAAGAATAATATTAAAATAAAAAATTGTATAAAAACCACATCAAAGCTTCAAATATAAAGAGATGATGTGTATTTGGGAATGGCAATGGGTTATAAAGTAGGTATCATGTCCAACCCGTCCATTACCTTTTAAAAAAATCCTAATGGATAATTGGTTAAATACGAGTAAAATAGTATTATTTATTTATATTAATAGAAAATTAATTCATGAATATAGATTTTTTTACCCTATTTATACTCATTATTTACACAATAACATATTAAAAAAAGAAGCAAAAAATATATATTTTTTTTAAAAAAAAGCAAAGCACCATAGTTAAAAAACACCGCAACTTTAGGTTATAGCTCACACATTACCGCCCTCAATCATCCAAATTTAAGTCCAAAACCAAACCACTCCTCCATAGTCGAACCACCTCCTCTCCTCCACCACCGAACCACCTTTACTCTTTCACTACCGAACCAACATCGCAACAATCTCTTCGTCGTGGAATAACACCAAGCTCTAGTCCTTCTCCATGGTACGTATCATAAAGAAAAAAGAGTTTGGTTAATATGATTGGTGCATCCTATTAAACTTGTAATGGAAAGTTTGAAATGGGAACGTGGGATTGGTGCATTTTAAATAAAAAGAAAGTAAATTATAAGTTGCACCTCAATTGTTCGTTGTAATGCCATAATGTTTTTTTTCCTTGATGTTTTGCATACAAGAATGAATGTCTCATTTGCACATCAAATTGAAATTAGTATTGCTTTCATGTTTATTGTTAAATGCAACATTTTATCTCTTAGAAAACCTCTAATTTTCTAAGATATCTTGTCAAGTCTTCTTAGATTGCTTTCTAATTTTCCGAAACCTACTGCCATGTGTTAATAAACTTGTCGTATATTTGTTTCTTCGTTGATTTCATTTGAAACTTTTACTATAACTATCTTACATTAGCGTATATAAATATCAATATCGCATTTCTAAATGAAAATATTGATGTATATTGTCATATTATTACGATTATAGAGACCAATTAACATATTGATATTTTAAGAAATTTAGCATAAATGTGATAGATGGTTACAGTGCTTGTGATTACTATGATCGACGTACGAGTTCTTGTCACAGGAATAGCTCTTTTTTCTAAAGCAACATTTGCACAAGAATTAAGTCCCGAAATCCTTTTAGTCTATATAAATCACAAAATACAAATATAACCAATTATATAGAAAATTTGACTATATATAAAAAACAAGAGTTTAAACAAAAAGATTCTGTAACAAAAAAAATAGTTTTAAATAAAAAAAATTGAAAAAAAAAGTTTACAATTTAAGGAAAAAAATTAATGGGTAAACAAGTACGGACAAGGTGCGAGCATGGTATGATCTAGTGGGCATCGGCTGAGTAAAAAATTAGATAAGTGATTCTCAACAAGTACGATAACGGGCATAATATTTTTTAATGGATATTGTACAGGAATGGTTTAATTGGCCCCTAAGTGTATTACTACTTTTGATATTTTCAATTAAAAATTTAAAAATGTGTTAAAAAATGTAAAGTTAGTTTTTTTTTTTAAATAGAGAAATTGATTTTTTTTTATTGTGAAAATAAAAGGTAGATAAGATCACAATTACTTGCTTCATAAAAAAAATAAAAATAAAAATACAAGGACCACAATTACTCGTTTTTTTATATAACCTTACCCAATATTTGAAGGATCCGACGAATGGATGTCCTTATAGTACTTGCTAATAACCATTTAATGTTTATAATCAATCATAATATTTTTTTGTTTATAATTTGTTGTAAACACTTAAAAATACTATCATATAAATCAGCGCTTATTTAATATTTTTCATAAATATTATTAATTTTTTAAAGACATAATTTGATATTAAATAAATTTTAATAAATATATTTTGCTAATGCCTAGCGGATGCGCTGAAAAAACAAGTTAGCTTTTTTCATATTTTGAAATATAAAAACTAAAAATAGTAATTTGAGTAAAAATAGTATCATTGTCTGAATTTGACACATGTCACTTAATCTTGTGCTAGAAAATAAAAGGAAAAACACATGAGAAAAAGAAAAGGTAAAAAACAAAAAAGCAGTACGATTATCTTTATTTGATAATACATAACTTTCATTTGATTTATTATATTTAATAAAACGAATTTTATTTGAAAGGAAATTTACTTATTTTTAGTAAAAACGAAAAACTTTTCTGGCTTCATTCAATTTCTCGCCTTATTTGAAGTCAATTGTACCGTGCCGTTATCTCGTAAATGTGACGGTCTGTGACGTTTTATAGAGTGTGCATTTGCTAGGCATAGAGAACGATGAGGTCCAAAACGTGTTACAACAGTAACCTGTCGTCTGCCGAAGGTTACTAGATACTTTTGCTGTTTAGCAGGTCACGTGTTAATTCTCTTCGCACGTATCTGACGTGTCTTTGTGCCGTCTTTCTGTAGCCAGCCTGTAGTGCGTGCGGTAAATTTTCTTATTTTAAAAAACCACACGTAGCAAATTGTTGAATGTTTAGATTTGCTGATAGAATTTCAGTCAGTCTCCGTAACATTTCCTCTAAAAAATAGAACATCGTCGAGGACTTGTTGCATGTATATCTTTTTCTGCTTTTATATAGTATATTATCCTATTGTTCTTGCGTGTGAAGACTAGATTTATTTCTCTAATCCTCTAAAAAGTTGGTTATCCATACCAGATTGCAAAAGTGATCTAAAATTTGAATTCTGAAAGTTCGAAAAAACAAAATTCCCTTTTAATTATCAAATCAAACTCCTAAATTAATTTCAAAATTTATTATACATTATGTACGATTACTTAAAAAATTAAAATTTATAATACTTTCAAGTTAATAAAATATTCAAAGAATAATTTATATAAACTACTTCATAGAAAAAGATAAACACAAAAATTAAAAAAAATAAAAAACTAAAATAGAAATTAAATTAATATAAAAATCTTCTTATTACTTATAGTAGATTCAATTATAATTTTTTTATGTGTTTATCTCTCTTATCAAAAGTGTATCATGAAGTACTATTTTATATATATATATATATATATATATATATATATATATATATATATATATTATTTTTTAAGTATTATAAAAATTTTAGTTACATCTAAACTTTTTTTTTTCACTTTCTCTTTAATAGTTTTTTTTGTTAAGAAAAAAAAAGCTGGAGAAGGAAGAGAAGAAAAGTCAAAGTTGTAGGCGTTCAGCCGATTTACAGTCTATTAAGCCGATTTATAATCTATTAACTACTACAAATCGGTACTTTGAAATCACCTAACGATGTTTTTTTTGGCAAACTAGATAATATACCAGGGTGTGAAGATATATTTTACCTTATATTTTTTTTAACAACACATTTTTCTTTCATTTTGAAAGTATTACTCTTCCTTTGCAACTTGTATGGAAAACAACAGGTGATGGTGGGACACAGAAGTTACATAATAAATCAATTAAAACAATGATCACTTAGTAGGACCTATCTGTTTAATGAAGATCGTTAGAGTAAATACAATAGAAAAGTAAGCTTGAAGTTTTTCCACGCATGGAACAGAATGCAGGTTCAAAATTCCAAGAAGGATACACGTGGGTTTGCCATTTCCATGGTGATTTTGATAACTTCTTTTAAAAAACTACTTATTCAAGTATTATGACTCTTTCATTTTCTTTTCTTTTGTATAGGTTGTAAGGAATGCAAAGCAGCCGTACCATCGTTTAACGCTTCACTAAGCTCTGTCTCTCTTTTCTCTTCCATTTCAAGATGTTTGGCAATAGCCACTTCTTCCAAATAGTTTTTTTTTTTACATCAATCCATACCAAATCAATAACTCTCAAATTAAATTATAGCATGTCAAGCCAATTAAATCTTAATTGATACTATTAAATGATAATTATTTCTAATTATTTATGGATAATGAAAACTAAATTTTAGTCTCAATCAAAATCAAAACAATTAATTTTATTGTTGTTAGACCATATCTTTTAATATTAGTATATTTAACTTTAATTTTTTTTTATTATTAATTAGACAATGAAAAACCGTCTCCAAAGTTGTAGCAATTCAATTATATGTATATGTGCACGATAAGCCACCAAATAGATTAAACATCAAAAAAAATTGGTAGAAAATATAAAAAAATGGATGAAATTTGATTGGAAAACATCTTTATTATTTTTTTTAAAAAAAGATAAAGTCAGCAGGCGAATGGAACATTTAATGGTTTCGTTTGCAAATAATGTGACAGTCTCAAACTTCTCACACATCAACTTATTTCAAGCTCTCCTAGTATCCGGTTGTATTGAAACGATAAAATTATTTAAATGACGCTAAATATGACTGCCTAAAAACATTTCTTATGATGTAATTTCATGATAATTGATGATTAATTTACTTTTGAAATTTGAACTTTTATTATCAATCCATTCACATGCCATAATTAAAAAAAAATCAAAAGAGAGTTAAATTATCTTTTACTGTTCAGTTCATGATTAAAACAATAAATTTATCATTTTTTTTTATGCATATTAAAATTAGCTTAACAAATATACTGTAGGAACTCGTTGCATATGTAGATGCACACTTCAAACATGGGCACCTATATATAGCATATGAAAAGATCATATGAGAAAATAAATTGATTTTATGCCGATATGATGCAATGAGTTTTGGAGTTGGCAATCCTCTTTGGACGAGAAATCGTTGAATAGACTTAGCTTACAAACTCATCTAGACCAGACCAATTTGCGACATTACACATAAAAAACGAATAGACCTTATATAGTGAAAAAGGGATCCATCCATGTGTTATGTCGTTTTCTAATCTACCTAACGATTTCTCTTTAGACTCGATCAATTTTTTTTTTCAATAGTTTCTTGCCACTTGCACTCCTTCTCCGGTGATTTGAGCCATGTGTGTGGATGTCCAATGTTTTTTCCTCATCCAAGTATTATATTAACAAAGTTGCACTAATGTGGTATAAGAGATAAAATTAAGAAAAAAAACTTTTGAGTAAAAAATTATCATGATATAGTCAAAATTAATTATCTTTATTAAATCAAAAAAAGATGTATTATTATAATTTTTAAAAATGTATACTCGAACTTTTTAACCAAACGGAAAGAACAACAAAACAAGATTAATCGATACCATATAAACCCATCGAGATCCGTTGAGTTTCTTATAATTTTATTGTAGCATATAAGATGGATGATGTTCTATCTACACTTTTTATTATCTTTCAATTGAGTCCTTTTTTATTAAAAAATATAAATGATTGATACCATATATTTTAAACCAAAAGTTAATCTTTCCTCTACTTCCAAAAGTCAGTGAATTTGAAAAAGTACCAACTACCTGTCCTCACTCCACAAGTAAAACAATAAACCAAAAAAGCTCCCGCGTTAATTCACGAATCGGATTGGGAGAATAGCCTGAATTAGCCAAACAAAAAATGATACTTGTCGAGACACAAGATCGAATTCTCTTCTCTGAAGCAACCATGCACAAATACATAACCTTTTCTATTTTGGCTTATACTGTTATACACGGGTTGTTGTCCAGTAGAAAACATGGCACATGCAAACTTGAAACTCCTTCTAAAAGTCCAAATCACAGTACTCCCGTGTAGAGAGAGAGAGAGAGAGAGAGAGAGAGGGGAGCAATGATGATGATGTGAATATATTAATTGATAATTCTTAATCAAACTCCATGCTTTACGTATTTGAAGATGCTAACTAGAGCACTAATAATTACTTTATTGGACTAGACGATCATGTGCTAATGGGTCGTTTGAACATAAATTTATTCCTGTCTTCTCAATAGCTTATGCTCCGAATCAATATAATATGGTACCCTCCTCCAAAAATGAACCGAGAAAATACATCAATATAATATCTTATTACAGAAAGTTGAACTACTCAGCCTGGTATATGGGCGTGTGACACTAGAAACCCATTTGTGGATTATAATATTGTTAGCCCATTGTTTTTTGTCTCCACGACAACATATTCATTATTATAGTTGAGAAATCTGATCCATATATTCCCATCACCAAACTGTTCCATAATAATAACACGTGAGAATTATATATAATAAACAAATTGCGTGTTACACACATCTCACAGACATGCACCCATTTTTCTAATCCGGAGCATGGGAAACTCTTACATTAAGTAGTGGACTAAACTTGTTACCATACTATCAATGTTCGATGTCAACAAAACTTTAGGAGATGTTTGGTATACGAAATTTAGATGTTTTTCTAAAAGAGCAGATCATCAAGTTTTATATATATATATATATATTTGGTTTAGTTTATCCTTTTATTATTATTTTGGTTATTGAATCCTTCAATTATAGGGACAAACGAGGTCACTACATTATTTTTTGGATTAAGCTAACCCATATATGATACCATGAAGAGATGATCATGGTTAGTTATTCATAAATAATAAAAATTGAACTTCAGTTTTAGCCAAACCAAAACTTATATATATATATATATATATATATAGACTCACAGTGCTTGTAGTTGATTTCATTTATTTGTGTATTTTATAAGCTCTTCTCTTACCCTTAAGCTTTGCAGCAAGTAGATTTCGCACTTTGTTTGCTTTGAATAATAAAAATTCTTTTAGAATTATTTGATAAATAAATTTTATTAATTCATAAAATGTACATATTGATATAATCGTAATCATGATACTATATATAGACCACATCTTGTAGTGGTTGTAGTTGATTTCATTTATTTGTGTATTTTATAAGCTCTTCTCTTACCCTTAAGCTTTGCAAGCAAGTAGATTTATGCACTTTGTTTGCTTTGAATAATAAAAATTCTTTTAGAATTATTTGATAAATAAATTTTATTAATTCATAAAATGTACATATTGATATAATCGTAATCATGATACTTGCCGCCATGCTACATTTAAAGATAATCCATCCAAGAACTTATCTTGAATATAATAATCGTGACAAGCCACTCAAAGTCACCATGATTGGGCAAGGCCCGATCCATTAGTATAAATGGACAATTCGAGTAAAAGAGATGCCTTAACACCTATTTGGTAGACAAAAAGGCATTCATTTAATGAAGATGTCGCTTTCTTGATTACCCTAGTTGCATCATCACCAATCATGACTTTACATGCATCGTTAGACAATGATCATCACCTAAAAGGAGTCAAAACCCTCAAGTGGATATCAAAAATAATTTAAGTGTAAGAAAAAAGACTGTTCTACCCCTACTCGTGCAAGTTGATCACATATTTTTCTATATAAAGGCTAACAAACCAATGATTATAGGTTCCGCTTTTCAAGTTAAAGATAATTATATAATTAATTATTTCCTACATAAAAAAGTTAATCTATTTACAACCTACTCAAGTTAAACACTTATCTTCGTAAGTTAACTTAACCATTAAAGGGTCTTTCAATCGCTAAAAGAAAACTTATTTTGTAAATGTTTACCATCAAATCGACTTTCATTACACTAGAACCACCACATAATTAGCTTAAGTTAGAAGCCATCTCATCAACAATCACAATCTAAGTATCACGATATCATCACTAATGCCATTTATGGGAACTTTGAATGAAAAGCCAACTACTAAGTGTTTTATTTTTTTCATCATCAAGTTTTCATCTATGACTAAGAATTAGGAAAGTCCAACTTGCTCAACTACTTTCAATTTAGCCAATTCTAGCGTTTTTCTAGTCGACGTTTTCTAACTATAGTGCTTGCATCAAAATCTTAATGAAAAGCATATATAACTATGGACAAATATATAAGGTTTCTAATTACACCTTTATTCATGCCTCAAAAGCATTAGACACCCACACGTGCACCTCTTTTAGAGATCTTTGCACCACTACAAGTTACACTATATGTGAACTTCTCTAACCAAAATAGAGCTGGGCACTCGATCGAAGAAAAAATAGCTAGGCAAGATGAAGGCGAGGACGAGAGAAGGAAATGTTGTCGCTTTCTAAATCCATAAAGAAGTCATTCTCACCCTTCCCCTCACAATAAAAAAAATGATTAGTTAGAGGTCATATAGATAGGAAAAGAGGTAAAAGAATAAAGTATCACGCAACACCAAAAGTAGGAATGTCACGGTTAAAAACCAATATAGAAGCGGCTCCTCCTCTCAAACCTATTAGGAAGCCTATAACCTAAATTCTAACTAGTGGATAGGAGATGTATTGCCTCCATCAACATAGGTTAGACTTCTACGACCATAAGATCTAGGCATCTCCACTTATCCCTCAAAATCTTGAACACTAGGCTCTTAGAAGAATTCGTCATTAGAAAGATAAACCTAAATGTGTATAATGGGACAAAAGATCCATGACAGGCATGTATAAAATATTCGAAAAAACCTTAGGTCGGTCATACGAAGTACAAATGTCATATGTAAGGTACTTTCCACCATATTTCGAGGAGTGGTGAGGAAGTGGCATAATAACTTAGATCCCGAATCGATCCTTAGTTTTGAATATTTATGCTCTAAGCTGGTAGCCTAATTCTATACTAGTATCCATGTTGAAAAAGCTCTAATGACTTGTTTGCAATATTCCTCCAAGATGAGAGAGTACCTAA